CACGAAAGTAAATAAATAAAAAAACAGGTATGAACACAATATGAACAGTTTGTGAATAATAGTTCCTTCATTATGAACACATTCAGGAGCAAACCAATGTTGAGATATGCAKCTARTGTACATATGAACACAATATGAACAGTTTGTGAACAATAGTTCTTTCATTATGAACACATTCAGAAGCAAGACAATATGCTACTAGTGTACATATGAACACAATATGAACAGTTTGTGAACAATAATTCCTTCATTATGAACACATTCAGGAGCAAGACAATATGCAACTAGTGTACATATGAACACAATATGAACACTTGTGAACAATTCTTTAACAATTACATATGAATTCGAATTCCGATTGTAGTCGTAGACAATTTTAACTTTTTCATTCTCATTGTTGTCGATCTGTTTTCCAATAGGTTTATCCATATTACTCGGATGATATCGAAATCTTTACAATTTGAAATTATTTAACAATTACAAAATCAATATCATTGTGGATAGAATAAATCGAAATTACAAAACACGAACACGTATAAAAAATATCAATATTACATAATCATTAATTATTGAGATTTTTAGATTTGTAACTCCCAATTAATAATTTGGGAGTTACATAAATGACAAATTACTTAATTACCCTTGTCATTAATATATGAGTTATATGTGAACTTAAAGAAAATATGCAATATGATTGGTTGAGCTTGGTTAACAAAGTTAACACAAAAATTTTGGTTAATATTTAGACCAACCCCTATATATATATATATATATCTATATATATATATATATATATTTTTTGTAGTGAGTTTTGGGCTGAATAGTGCAGTTGTAGGAGTACTATGGCGGATTAAAACTTCATAATCTTTTTGAAGATTTAGTTTTGGTGACTCCATGATGCAAAAGGCTTAGGGAATCATGGAGTTAGGTACACAAACTTGATTTGAAGAGGTGGCTCTAAGACTACTTTATTAAGACTCTTTTGCTTGTGTAACAACCTTGGATGATAAATCACAAAGCTATTTAGTTTAGTTATTGTTCTCTTTCTTGTTTGAATCCAAGTAGTTTGAACTTTTTGGTACTTTTCCTTAGGTTGCAATAGCAACCATCTTAAATTCTCATAGCAATTTATTATTCTTTTACGTTCAGTCTTTACATCTATGTCTTGTATTTGTTTCAAGCAATGATGGACTAAATACCCTAGTTTGGGTGTGAGTGAGGATTGGAAGTATATACTAAGTGCTAGTGAATAATTAGGCATGGTGATTTGACCCGACCCGGTGGGGAACCCGGTTCACCCGACCCGGACAGGGACGGGGATTCCCCGCTAAAATGGGTACCGGGTCCGGGTCCGGGGATCCCCGGTAGAGGCAAACCGGGGTTGGGGCCCCGACCCGTCCCGTAGCCGGTATATTGATAATATCATAATTAAATGAGTCCATTGGGCTTTGGTTAGTTATAGGGAAATTGGGCTTTGGCTAGTTGGCTTTGACAGACAGTAACTCTGAGTCCAGACGCCAACACCATCGCCTTCCCCTAACCCCTTCACTCTTCACGGCTGCTTTCCCCAAATCGGCAAATCCCAATTCTTCCCCTTCTTCACGACTCACCTGTACTCTCGTAGTTGTAACCTAAGCAGTAAAGCGACAGTCACCCTAGTCCTCATGGACCTTCGACCTTCGACAGACCGCAGACGACAGTCACCCTAGTCATCGGCTACCTGGCTCGTCAGTCGTCAATCGACCCAACTCCATCCAGTCGGCGCATTCTTCATCATCAATCGTGTGAGCACAGCTGCACCGTGAGCAGTGACAGCGAACAGCCACCAGTCCACCACACCAGTCGTCTTCTTCTTGAGTTCGGGGTGTTGACCAGGGGTTGACCGGGTGTTGACCAGGGGTTGACCGGGTGTTGACCAAAATTTGACCGGGGCCGAAAAGTTATTCCCTGTATCAGCCGGGGGCCGGGGCCAATGGCTATAAACCGGGGCCAGGGTCGGGGATTGTAAACCCCGCCCCGTTACCATGACTATGAATAATTGCTTTCACAATGGCTATTTATTCACTAGGCACTCTAGACTCTAATGTTTCGTTTGGGCAATCTCTGAGAAATTGACGGTATGTTATTTGACCAAATGAGTTGAGTTCAATAGAGTCAACGAAAATATAAAGTTTTAGAGAATTATAGAAATGTCGCAGCATGCTGCAAAACTCTATATGGGAATAAAGGTAAGATCTATCCGATGCTTGGATTTGTGTTCATCATAGATACAATGAGGACATGACAGTGAGTGGGTAACCTAAATCTCGAAAGAGAGCCGTTTGAACCAATAGTGCGAATAGAGAACTACTGCTGCAGCATCCCACCGGGTCATGCTGTAGCAAGGTTCCTTGGAACATTTAATCAGAAACTCCAATTAACGAGAGCTTGCACCGTTGCTTTCTGTTACTGTTTTTTAACATTTTCATTGGTTGTTAACTCACTCAAAGCATATTCTTCGACCTTGCGATCTGAAATTAGTTTTTCACAATGAGATCTTGCAACAAAGAAACCTAACCCTGTGGAATACGATGTCTAGTTTTTACCATTTTATTACTTGTTTTAAGACAATATTGAGTATACATGTATACTTGCATGGTGACTTAATTAACATGACAACAACCGTTGACGATAGAAATGTAAGTCACTCTTTAATTTATTATATATTCATAATTCAAAAATCAGCATTTTTGGTACACTTTAAAAGACACTTAAGTCTTTTATTTACATTAGTTGTTGACGAAATGAAATTCAAGTGTTTGTCAAAAAGTTAAACCCTAAAAGTGGTTATTTTGAAAAAGATTGGGGAACTAGTTTGACTCTCTAATTTATTTATTTATGTTGCTAAACAAATTACAAATAACACTCACCGTTAAACTTGAATATTTTATGAAATGTTGTAATTTTAGGAAATAAAATATAATTTGATGAGATTTTGTAAATTTTAATGGACATGGTTATTTCTCATAAACAATGAATTATTTTGAATCTTTGTTTACCTTCTTGTTTCATTGATTAAAAGTTGCCTTATATATATATATATATATATATATATATGATGATCACTAGCAAAATGTTGTTTATATGTTGAAGTTATTTTTGTCACTGTGATGTTCGGTCTAACTTGTATGCACCTCGACTGATCCAATGTGACCGTAAAGAATAGTCAGGAACTGGTGACTTCTGAAGAGTCACAAAAGTCCAAACCTTATTGTAGTTTCGCTAACCCCTCAAACTTATTGAATCTTGAATTTTCTTTGACAAATAAGGAGGATCTTATCTTTAACTCCTTCTCATAAGGACGAACAAAGTCTCAATGAGTGTTTCTAAGCTTTAGATATTCTTTTGGACATTATTCTTCTTAACAAGTTAGCAATTTGAGCATTGAAAGTAAGATTTTAGCAATTTTCAATTGTGATAGGATAATTTATAAGTTTATTTTAAAAAATGTCGAAAACATTGTTTTAGGTGATGTTTGATGTTTTGACTTTTGTTACTCAGGGTTTTAGTTTACGTTCTGCATAGTTGTATCATTCTATTTTAATAAAAAATGGGGAGAGATTATTTTCATGTTTTGTTTGTTTTCTAAATTGAGGCCATTATTTAGGTCCTCCGTATTGGAAACAAAACCACCAAGGACTGACCATGGTCTTGCGTCACGCGTTGTACATCGTCGTTGGCATGTTTTTGTCACTGGTCATTCACTGTTATCAAACCTTTATTCATCACTAGTCGTGTATCGTCGTTAACTAGTTCTTCATCACATATCTACAATGTTCTCGACCTATTCTTTTTGTCACCGGTTGTACAATGTCATTGGCCTATGCTTCATCGCCAGAGGAAAAAGTGAGGAGAAAGGGAGATAGAGGGATTAACGTTTCATTTTTTGTTTTGTTTTTCTCCAAAGGGATTAGGGGCCCTGAAAAGAAAAGAAGTGAAATGACCAAAATGTTATCATGTGCAATGCACATGATTCATTTTATCGATGACATAATTAGCAACATGATTACATGGGTTTTTTTGTAATAAATTAATTATTGGGACAAAAACAAAAAAAAAATGGTCAAAACACAAGAACGAAAATTGTAAGATACTCTAGATGTTCTCTTGTGGGTATGATATGATGTTCTACTGGTAGTCTATATGGATATTGTCGAGCTTTTTAAATAAAACTTAAATAGGCTCAAGCCTATATTAAGAGCACTCGTTAAGTTATCAAATGTTTAATGCTACATAGTCGAGTTTGAGTTTGAGTTGATGAGTCATGAATTTGGATTTTAAGTCGATTATATTGTATTAATTTTTTGATGATAGATGAGCAACAAATAACAAATCATGTGAAGTTGTTTTTTTGGACATTAAAAAGAAAATAAGAGGATGAGAATTACAGGTGATCAAGAATCAATCATAACCGTTAAAATTAAAAAAAAAATCTAGAAAAGATAAAGAGGGTATTTTATTTATGTTGAGAAATACATACATGTGATGCTAGTGGATATGGAACCTTGTCCGAGGTGTAAGGTTGTGTTGTTTGTCTATATATACAACCCAACCACACACACCTATTTCACATATCATCTGCGTGTTTTTGTTTCATTGCTATCTTCCCCCTTTCCATCCGCAAGTTTTATCGCCTTTATTTTTTACCAATTTGCCTCACGACTCCCGATTTTTCTTCCTACATTTCTTCTTCATTCCTTTTTAAATCATCCAATTTCATTCTGTTCCGATTTTGATTGAATTTTGAACAAAGTTTCAACTGGGTTTTTTTTTCTTTTTTGTTTCATCGATTTGTTCAAGGGTGGGTAAGAACAAGAAATTGAAATTTGACGGGAATTCTGGAGTTAGGGTTTCGAATAATGAGGTTGATGCAGGAGGAGGTGATTGGGTATGAGAGCGACGAGGAGAGGGAAATGGAATCGAGTAGTAGCTGTGGTTCAATCGGTGAATTAGGGTTTCAGGAGAATTCGATGAAGGTTGTTGTTGTAGGTTATGCTCTTACGTCTAAGAAGATCAAGAGCTTCTTGCAGCCGAAGCTTGAAGGTTTGGCTAGGTAATTCTTAATCAAAATCCCTCCAATCTCACCGCTATTCACCAAATTAAAAGAAGAAGAAAACCCTAATTTCGTGTATTTGTTTAAATTTCCTTCATCAGGGTATGTTAATCCACGCGTATAAGTATTGTTTCACCTTCGTCTCGTAATTATGATCGCTTTTAGATTGATGATTGCTTTTAGAAAGGTTCAAAATTAAGAAATCAAGAAATAGAATTAATTATTTGTCGCTTGCGTTTTGTTGCTTTCACAGAATTTTGAGCACGAATAATTTTGGAAAATCAACGAACCATTTCCCCTTTTTTCCTAGTGGTATGAAGAAATACTCTTTCGGAAGGAGGACTTCTCTTGCCTGTCGGGTAGTGGGATTCTTCTGTTTTCTCTAGAAAGATTCTTGTGTTTTGAATATTCATATATTCTTTTAACCTGTAGACGATAAGTATTTGAGTATCAATTTATGCAATAAATGATTGTTTTGGCTTGGCTCTTTGAATCTTTATCAAGTAATTATTTTGAGTTAGCACCACAATTTCACAATGAAAAATTTTGAACATTTTTTAATAGTTATCCCCTTCCTAACAGGCCCTCTTCCTCGAATTGATAAGATATTTCTGCTTTCAAGGAATAGATCAAGATGTATATGAAAAATTCATAAGGGCCATTGCCATTATTTGATTCGAATCATCAAGCAAAATGTATACTCCAATAATATATCTTATTCATGTATGGTGGATCACAATTCATATTGACCAGACATGGTTGTGGAGCTTAGTTATTATGTTTTGTGGGTTTTTATGTAAATATTGCTGATTTAGAACTTCTTAGTTGTCTAGTGAATGGAAACACTCAACGTTGGGATTTGGTGAAGTTGTAACAAATAACTAATGAGCTAAGGAACATTCTTGGTGTTGGAACAAGAATACTTCTGTTGTTGCATCACAAGGATGCCTACATTTTTGTGTTTTACATTATATCTGTTATATAAATTACGTCAGAATAGTTGAAGGGATTATTCAATTTGAATGGGTTAATGATTTATAAAAAGTAGTATAACAACTCTCTGAATTGATTACAAGTTCACCACATAATGCAGAGTTTTAGATTTTATTAGTGTTATGTATGGATTAGTGTCACAAGATTATTTGCTAATAATTTTTTGTCTTGCCCACCTATGTTTGTTTTTTTGTTGTAGTGTTTGTATGATATACATATTTTTTAGCTAGTCCCAAATCTCCTTCTAATGGATTGTGATTGTCTCACTGCCGGTGGTGGAATTGTAACATTAGAAACATGAGCAATCTTTGAAGAACTGGTTTCAAGTTTCATAAATTCTAATGTTGACATCAGTTATTGCTTATTTCCTAGTGTACCTTTAGACGTTAGGTTTCTCTTGGATTTGTGCTGTGAGTTGGCCATTAACTACAGCTTTGGTTGTATGAAATGCAGGAATAAGGGGATATTTTTTGTTGCTATTGATCAAACCAGGCCTCTTTCAGATCAAGGTCCTTTTGACATTGTGCTGCATAAGGTCAGTGCGGCCTATTCTTCCATATTCGTCTGAATACATATGTCAACCACCATGGTGAACTTTTCATACTATGTTCTTTTCTATTATTTCTCAGTTCTGGTATTTACATGCCAGAGATTGTTGGAATTTGATGATACTGATATATTTAATTTAAATCTTTATCAACCAGATGTCTGGGAAGGAATGGCAGCAAATTCTTGAGGTTAGTCTTGATATGACGATCTTCTATATTGCAATATTGCTGATGATGCTTCTCTAAAATATTGTTAATATTTTGGTCATTGATATACACATCGTAGAGTTATAACTTAGTTACATTGTGACTGACGTATCACAGTATGTATGGTGTCGGTCAGACATTCATCAACTATGGTTGGTGATCAACCTGGTATGTTGTTGCTTGGACATACGCCATGTAATGTGACTTAACATGCATAACGCTTGGTCTTTTATATTACCATATATTAATTAATTAAGTTCACTGCCTCAACCTTTGGGTAAGAGGCTATCTAGCTGCCTCTATTCATTCTCATAAGTTTGCTGGTCTCTTGGTAGAGTTTCATTTTTCATAGGAATTAAGACCCTCCTATCAGCAATAATACTGTAGAACGGACCTGATTTTATTTTCTGTGAAATGTGGTGTACTTGTTAAAGGTTTTGTTTTTTAGCTTGTTCCTTTTAACTATAAATCTTTATTTGCTTTGGAACTTATTCACTATGTAATTGGTTGATTTTTTAAAAATGCTGACAGGATTCCATATTCATTGGGGTGACTGTTTTAGACATCTGGCCGAGCTCATAGTTACTCAAATGTAGGTAACCTAAAAATACATGCAAAGAGACGATGACATTAACTTTCGAAGATGTTATTCAAAAGTGAAGTTTTTGCATTCCTTGAAAAAAGTAGAGATTAACAAATTGGTTGACTACTTCATGAAGTAATGATCACCAACCGGCTACCTTAACCAGAAAGAAAAAAAAGGAACATGAATTATATTCGCCTGGTGATGTTGGTGCAGTGGTTAAAAACTGCTGTTTTCTAGACAAAGAATGTGCCTAGGGTGGCTCTAAGTTATGACAGCTTGTGTTTTGATCTTTAGAGGAAATAAACTGTAACTCAGATAGATATATCCAGCTTTGCCCTGAATCAGTATTCTATTTGAAAGGGAATGTGATCCTGGTTGGTCATTTGTATACAACTTACTACAGTTTTTAAGAAGAAAAACGTAGGAACTTTCTTACTTAGATACCCCTTAACTAATTTTTCTGGTTGGTTTTAGTTGATTGCTGTTGGAACTTGGGATTGTTCGAGTAGGTGGTTTGGGATAGTTTGCAGTAGACCCTAGATTAGATAAATGTGTCACCCTTTTTACCAGTTTGTTGTTCTGCTGCCACAAGAAATTCTGTGTTTTATTGAGATTTTACTATTTGGAATTACTTTCAGATGCTGATCTGCCTGGCTTCTCTTGAACTTTCTTATATTTTGGATGAACTAAGATGATCTCTAACCCTTTCGTTATATTTTTGTTTTTGTAGGATTATCGCCTGACACATCCAGAAGTTACAGTGCTTGATCCTCCAGGTGCTATACAAAATCTGTACAATAGACAGTCTATGCTTCAGGATGTTGCTGATCTAGATTTTTCTGATGCATATGGTAAATTTTCTAAAACCAAGTATGAACTCCTAGTTGTCTCTGAAGATGTATTCATAAAAATGGAGCTAGAGTAATGCAAATTAAAACTAAATGGATTTGTGTGCATCCAATTAAACTAACTAAAGTTGACCTAAAATGGATCAAACTGGTATTAATAAGCATGAGGCAGACAAACAGCCCTAGACAAAGTGAAATGGGCAAATAGGAAACTTAATTATTAAAAAATAAACAATTATGACGTGGATGGATTTGTATGCTTGTTGATTCCATAAAGATGGTTTTGATTATCAGAGTTTTCCGATGTTTCCCCTGCTAAATTTGATTTATCTAATTGATGGAAGAATTGGTTTCTCACATGTTAGCACACTATGCAGGTACAGTTGGTGTCCCGAAACAATTGGTGATAGAAAAAGATCCATCATCTATTCCTGATGCTGTTAAGAAGGCAGGACTATCCCTACCTCTTGGTATGCTACCATTTTTGTTACTAAAGACTTGTATTATAATCTGGAAGTGACACTCTTAAGGTTCATAGAACTATTTGGCACAAGTGTCAGTCTGTTCTATGAATTATTTTCTCAAACTAACTAATTGGTGCATCGGTGTCAGTTGCAAAGCCTTTGGTTGCCAAGTCACATGAGCTATCGCTTGCTTATGATGAGTATTCTCTTCAGAAGCTAGACCCTCCCCTTGTTCTTCAAGAGTTTGTTAATCATGGTAATTAACTGCAAGCTGGGATTTCTTAAGTTATTGCCAGTAGTATGTTATTATCTTAAAATGTTGGTTATTGATGGATCGTGTGGTTGTAGGAGGTGTTCTGTTCAAAGTGTACATTGTTGGGGATGCAATTAAGGTTGTGCGGCGTTTCTCTTTACCTGATGTCAGCAAGCGTGAGCTGTCAAGAAGCGTTGGCGTGTTTCGCTTTCCAAGGGTTTCATCTGCTGCCCAATCGGCAGATGATGCAGATTTAGACCCATGTATTGCTGGTAAGTTTTTTCACCACCCAAGTTTCGGGTGTGGTGGGATAAAGTGACTTTTGGAAATGTTACAAAGGGTGAGGTCATCTGTACAAGAAACCTGATGATTTGTTGTTTCTTGCAGAGCTTCCTCCACGAGCCTTACTTGAGCGCCTTGCGAGAGAACTTCGTCGACGGCTGGTATTCCAAAACTCTCTTTTTAAAAGGAAAATTGTTGCTCTTTTTAAAAAATGAATGGACAAATGGTTCTAGTCTTTTCTCCTCAGCCATTGATACACTATTGTTTGGTGTAGGGCCTTCATCTGTTCAACTTGGATATGATTCGTGAGCATGGAACCAGAGATCGGTTTTATGTGATTGACATAAATTATTTTCCTGGTAAATTGAAATCCTGAAACCTTTAGTTTGTGTGTGTTCATGAGATGGTTTTTTGATTTGTGGGCATGGGTTTGCAGGGTATGGTAAAATGCCAGAATACGAGCATATATTTACGGACTTTCTTTTGAACCTGGCTAAAAGCAAGTACAAGAAACGGTCTGCCAATTTACCATGAAGGAAGAACATGTTGATTTGAATAAAAGCACCCGGTCGACAACCTAAAAGATGCTGTACGCAGCAATCTGTGAGTCCATTGAAAGGAAGGCAGTTGCCTGCTGGTGGTGGCCAAGCAAAGCAAAGCAAAGCATGCACAGAAAGTTGAGAAAGAGAGAGATTGGTTGAATCGGTTTTCTTTCTCTGTGTTGAAGGAAATGGGCTGCATTTTTAGATGAATGAAGAGGCATGCCACCATCCATCCATCCATCCATGCGTGGTTGGTTAGTACTGGTCTGATTTATGTTGAGCAGTTTGCATATGTGTTGTAGATATTTGATTTGAATTAGGTGATGATACGTTGTTCGCATGTCGATACTGAAAGATGTTACTCGTGATTTGAACCACTTTGTTTGTGTTTCTGCATGGCATGAATGGATTTAGTTCTGGAACTGTGTGTGTTATGATGCATCATAATTGATTTGGAGGATTTTCTGGGCTGTTTGTATGGTTGATTATTAGAAGGCTTCAATCTTAAAACTGCATATTAATAGGATCTAGAATTCACATGAAATCCAAAATTGGTTCTTGGGTTGCTAATTATGGCCATTGGTTGAGACTTGAGATAGAAGATACGCCCAATTCATGAGTTCCATCTAACACTTGGTGATCTTATTGAAACTAGTTTGGGATGAAAAATCAAGATTGATTTTTGTCATTTAATCAATAAATAAATAACAATTTAATTTAATCAATACAAATATTTTTCTTCTCTCTTTTTTTTTTTTTTTGTTGTGAATTGTAACGCAAGATGAAAAGGAAGGTTGATTTTTCGAATCAAAAACCAGAGAAAAAACTAACATATATATGATAAACTAACCTCATATAGGGAGGGAGGAGAATCTCAATCTCTTAGGGGTAAACACTTACCAAGTAACATTACCTTGCCGCATGACTATGATAAAGACCAAAAATCTTACCCGACAAATGCGAGACAAGGACCAAGAGTCTTACCCGGTAAGTGAGGGCGACGACTCTTACCACGGTAAGCGCTTACCGGGTAAATTGTTGCATACGATGTTGTCTTGGTAGACTAAAATCTTACCCGGTAAGTAAATAATAGTATTAAATTTTACCGGTGTTTGGTAAACGGCCCATTACTCTTTAATTTTGCGTTTAGCACCTATTGTCGTGAAGAAAGAAATACAGGTCAAGCAAACATTTATTGTGCATGATATATCAAAACACATATATAATCGAATTTGAACCAGATAACAGGCATAACAAATATATGAATTTGAAATACGAATGTACTTCTAGCACAAGGTTCAAATTTCTAAATATACAAAAAAGTTAGATTGCCTGTATAACATCCAAACTCTAGCAACCATGTATCAAAATATCCTCGTACGAAGGAACTTAAACTAGAAGAAGTTAGACCGAACAAATTGCTACCAACATGTCTAATCGAGCCATAACAAAATCAAGATATCCAAGTCAAATATATCAAAAAGGTAAATTTGTCAAAAATCAAAACCATCAAATATGGAATAGAATACTGATAGAACAAACAACTACGTGCCAAATGAATCCAAAGAGTTTAAAATTAAAAGAATTCAATGAGATTTCATCTGAGCTAGTACAATTACACTTGCGTATCAAACACAACAAGTGTCAGATATATGGTGCCACACAAACATGTGACATTGGACGTGCATATTCCTACTTACGTACTGAATTCGTTTGGTTTAGTTTGTTTTTGAAAAATCAAGAATTTGCAACTTTTTGTGGTTTTTAGTGAACACTTCAAAAATAATTTTAATGTAGTCAAGACAAAGTGAAGTTAAAAAATTAAATTTGTGAAATATATTTGTTGATAAAATATGATTTTGTTTCAATTTCACAAGTATTAAATTAGAGATGTATAGGAATCGGTTAAAACTAGTCCTGTCATAGAATGATATCACTAATTGAATTAAGCTTTGTCTTAATTATTATGTTATAATCAAACACTCCTCTATCACTTACCGAAATAAGCCATAATCAAACACTTACATATGATCTACACAATAAATTTAAATTATACAAGCTATTAAGCCCAATAAGCCAATATAACCACCATAAAAAATACTCAGACCAACTTTACCCTCTTCTGAAACTCGATCCCTTAACCTACCATAATCAATATTCTCAAATTTCATGTCCCCTCGTCATTAAAAAAAATAAAAATATAAGTTAAATAAATTTCTATTAAATGAAATAGTCATATGTATTTATATGATTGAACTGAAAAAAAAAGCAAAATATAGAATATACTGAGATAAGACTTTTATTGAAGAGGTTATATAAACATCTATTTATATCAAAATCAAGTTAAATCAATCCAGGGTTAGGTTTCGAGGAGAGTTAAGATGAGAAATGTAAAAAATATCTTCATTATTAGATGCATATTAGAATGAAATACACCAGAACAATCCTCGTATCATACACAATTCACAATGAATTTAAAACCAAAGGTAATCAAGAGTTTGACATCTCTTTCTCACAACTTCTCATGGTTCTTACCAAAGGGCCTTTGGCCTAGCGTATGTGAGTCTTTAGCTTTCTAAAAAATCAAATGTGTAAACCTCATCGAAGATAAAAAGGATGTATAATTTTTTTTTGTTCTATTTACTATATATAAAATATTATATACTTCAAAAAAAAAACTTCACAGGGTTCTAATTCAATATTATAAGGTTAAGAAAAGAAGACAAATGTAGGTTGGGCCTGGCCCATTGAAGAAACCCCAGTTCATTGCCCTTGTTCGCTGCCGGCCGGTTGACCCTTAATCCCTCATCGACGACCAACCCCTCTCTCTGCGCTTCTCTATTGTCAATTCGTCCGACGACCCAGTGCCACTCATTACGCCTCTGGTAATTGTTTATTCCATCCTTGCTAGTTGCTAGTCAGTTGGTGACTTGCTATTACAGTTGTGCTAAATTGCTCTTTGTAAACAATTGAAGGTTAAAAACCTTTTTGCGAATCAAGATAAAAGAAATCCAAAGTTCACCTACGTATTTGCTAATTGTTGCTGTGTTGAATTCACCTACTCACTCTATGTTGTTCATGATTTTAAGAAACTAGTTTTATACCTACGTAAGTTACTCTGTTTTATTCTAAAGTGAATCTCCAATTCAATGTTGTTCTTGCTTCATGAAATTAGTGTAGTGGATCTCCCCCTTCACGCTCAAAATCTTACCTTTTGATTTCTTGTTTGGATTTATTTAAGATTTTATTTGGTGCATCGCTTCACTCTGCTCAATGTGGCTGTTTGATGTGGATGGGGAGTTTCTGTTAAAATACAAAAACCTACCCTCATCGCTTGATTTCATTCTGCATCTGTGATGACATTAGATGACATTCTGCTCGTGTGATGTCAAAGGGTTTTTTATTGTTAGCCTGCTAGAAGCCGTAAAAGGATGGAGAAGGAAAATGAGACAAAGGCAGAGCAAGAAGAGCAAGAGCAAGTTGTGAATCCATGGGAAGTATCTGCTAAAGGCTCTGGCAAGATTGACTATGACAAACTAATCGATCAATTTGGTTGTCAAAGGCTGGACAAAACCTTCGTTGATCGAGTTTTTCGCCTAACTTCTCGTTCTCCTCATATCTTCCTGCGCCGCAACGTTTTCTTTGCTCACAGGTATCTTATTGGTAATCTCGATGGAGTTGCAATTTATTGGAGTTAGGAGATACCCAACTCAAATGTAGTGGTATATATGAATTCATGTTGATCATATCAATCAAGGAAACTAGCGAATTTATATATGGAAGTGAAAAAGAAAGTTTACCTGATATATTGTCCAACAGTTTCTTTTTCGTCATTCAATGTTAAGTATGTCAAAAAGTTATTCATCAGTTAGGAGAGTAGTGATCTGAAGACAGCTCAAATTGAATTTTTAACAGAGGGAGTATGAGAATACTGATAAACATCTTTATATCTTAAAAGAATTCGTATTGACTGTCAAGGGTAAGAGTGGATATGACATTTGAATAGTAAAGTGAATATGTATCTTTAGTTGAGGCTGGATTACTAATTGACAGGGCATCTGTTTACTTAAATTTTCAAAAATACCACTAACCACTACATAAATCGTTATACTGGAAGTTTAATAGGCTTAAGTGATGATTGAAAGTAGCTTTACAAGTGGGTTCCAAATACCAAAATGCAAATGTATCTTATATGGTAAAATGACTTCTTAAATTGATATCTGATGTAGTCTTAACTTGTTTAGTTGTACCCACTATTAAGTTTTGAGTTTTGGAAATTCAAATTAGTTTGTATCAGTTATGGAATAAGGAAATTAGTGTGAATTATGAAAATTAAGTGCATACTCAATTGAAGGAGTTTGGGAACACACTGATCTACATTCAAAATGGTTACTTTTAGATTGATAATTGGTGCTATGTGATTTTCCTTGATTGCATGACCACGTCAAAATGTAATTCTGAGATTTTAGTGTAATTACGTTGTAATTTGAAAAAAATTAAAATATGGAATATGGAAGTCATCTTTAGTGAATAGTCACCTCCTATTTTTGCAATTGACAATCGCTGAAATGTGATGAGATTTCCTGTCCTAGTATATGGTTCTGAAAGATAGATATGCATCTTTAATGTAAGCCAAGGGGGGTAGGCTGCTAAACTTGATATTTATGTATTTGTATCTATTACGCAACAGAGACTTTAATGAGATTTTGGATGCTTATGAACGTGGGGAGAAGTTCTATCTGTACACAGGCAGAGGCCCTTCATCTGAAGCTTTGCATTTGGGGCATCTTGTTCCTTTCATGTTCACCAAGTAAGCTTTTTCAATTTTTTACCCTTTATCTCAATCATGCAATTCAAGTACAAAGATCATTAACCTTTTTTATTTTACAAATCATTCCTTTGCTTTTAGGGCAAAAACATAATCCGGTTTAGAAAAGAAAGAGATACTTCCAGATTCATAGTGTTTATACAATTTTTAGCATTCTTAGTGTCCTAGCTGATAATCCAAATCTCAAGAATATAATGTGATGGTGGAAAATGTTTGTAAAGTGGGAAGTCCCATACTTTTTATGGTCTTGAGATAGAAATGGATATCCTTTATTCAAGATCAATTTTTAAATCTCATCTCTCCTTCCCTCCCTCTCACTTGGAATGGTGAAACTATTATTTATTATGGTTAGAAAATGGGAGAGCATGATCAAACACATGCTTGAATTGTGGAAGGTTGACAGGGCGAACATGGTCAAAATTGTAAGTAATTGGCATGGTAAAGCTTTCAAACATGCTCTAACACTGGCTTGCAGATATTTGCAGGAGGCTTTTAAGGTTCCTCTAGTCATACAACTGACGGATGATGAAAAATGCATGTGGAAGAACCTTACGGTAGAGGAGAGCAAGAGACTTGCCCGCGAGAATGCGAAAGATATAATTGCTTGCGGATTTGACATCTCAAGGACCTTCATCTTCTCAGATTTTGATTATGTTGGTGGGTAAGTGGTGTGTGGGACATGATGTTTAAGAGTAAGTTTTACTGTAAAGCCAAGTGTTCCAGACCTCCTAAACTTGATATAAGGCCATGGAACTTGCGAAGAACTCAAAATTTCTTTTAACTTTATATTTCTATTACAAGTTTCTATGATAGCATTAGCATATATGATAATATAGGTCAGCATGTGAAAGGATTTGATGTCAAAATATACGGTTATGGTATACCCTCTTATGTAATGGAACTAATGTGAACCTTGAGACTGAAAAATATTGAATTAGTTCCATTATCAGGCTGTTGTAGTACCCTGTTACTTTCTAACTAGCATTCCAGATGGATGTTTCTGCCTGTTGAAGGCATGTTTCTTTGTTTCTTCGTAATGAAATTTTTTATATCACATATGTAAGTAATAGGTTTGCATAACTTTAGAACTTCAATTATCGTGTTAGATGGGGAATTATCAAAAATCAGTTTAGTTGGATACTTATAGGCACTAATACAAGGTTTTCTGTAATCGATGGCCTTTGGTACTATCTGGGTCTCTTGAACTAGTGGTTGTGTGTTTGAGCTCATTGCTAGTGCGATATGTGTATTTTGACTTAAATGGAAAACAAAGTTACAAGGTTTTCTTGCTTTGAATGCCTTTGGATGTTCTGTTGGCTTGTTGTATTTCTCTTACGCCTCTGATGTGAGAAACTTCTGTGCAGTGCCTTTTATGAGAACATGGTAAAGGTTGCAAAGTGTGTCACATACAATAAGGCGAGTATTATTAGCGATGCAGTTGCTATAATCATTAGTCATTTTCTCACATGACTTTCTAAAATGCTATTCATTCAAGGCTTTGGTTTTAAAGATGGTTCTTTGTTGGACTTAGGCAGGTTGTTGGTATATTTGGTTTTACTGGTGAAGATCATATTGGAAAGATCAGTTTTCCGCCCGTCCAGGTTAGTATTTTCTATTCTCTGAAGTCTAATACCTTTTGATTCATTGCTGTGCTTCTCATTATCTTTATGGTTCTATAGAAATTTTTGATCATTGGGGCTTTCTCTAGAAGAAGCTTATCATCTGATACTCTTATATGCTTTGGGATTAGATTTATAGTGTTTGCTTATGTCAATCATAATAACGTTCAGCTATAACCATCATTTTTTTTTCTTTTGATAAAAGGTATTCAACAAATTTTTTAACAAGTTGGTCTCTGTAGGTCTAACATGTTCTTTCTGCAGGCTGTTCCATCATTCCCCAGTTCATTTCCACACCTGTTTTCTGGAAAAGATAAACTCCGCTGCTTGATTCCATGTGCAATTGATCAGGTTATTTGTTGGTCATATCTGTATCTATACTTGTTTCGTTCTTTATTTTGTATCTCAGTTACCTATTTGACTCTCTGGCCGYAGTTATAGTTATTTAGGTGGTATCCCGAGATTGAAGAGATCGAATTCCTCCGGGGAACACACGAAACAAAGATGTTCAAAACTCTATATTGTTTTTGGAAGTATATATTATTTATAAATGCGCAAGACAGTGATGTTCTTTTAAGCATTTTTCTGTACTGCTGACATGTATGCTGCTAGTATCTCTCTAATTTAAATTTGATTATTGCTTCAGGATCCTTATTTCAGGATGACACGAGATGTTGCTCCTCGGTTGGGTTATAGCAAGCCTGCATTAATCGAATCGTTATTTTTTCCAGCCCTTCAGGTACTTGGGTCATGATCATGGAGCTTTTTCGGTCAGAAACTTCTTATTGCATTTCGTTCATATTGTAACTCTGCATTTATAGATGTTCCGATCTTTATGCGACTGTTTATGATGTGTTTGTTTGTTTGTTTGCTAATTGTTGCAGGGAGAGACGGGCAAAATGTCTGCAAGCGATGCCAATTCTGCAATATATGTAACCGACTCTCAGAAAGATATCAAGTACAAGGTTTTTGAAATTCTGTGTCCTTTAACTTCCATTGCATAGAAAAGTTTGCATAGTGGAATGTCAATTTGCAAATGGGCTTTTACCTTATCAAGTGCTTCTTTGATAATCGTAATATTGGCATACATACATAAAATGTCTATATCTAAATCTTTTCTTTGCGTTTATCATATAATAAGCTACTTCTCTTACTGGTAAAAGTAAGCTGATTACATATACATGTATTGTACAGGTGAACAAATATGCATTTTCAGGAGGGCAAGATTCTGTTGAGAATCATAGAAAATATGGAGCGAATCTTGAGGTGAACAAATATGCATTTGCGTACTATTACCAACGTTATTTGATGCTACTGACCTTTTCCCAAAAAAGAAGAAGAAGCATATGTGGTACCGTGTTTATCTTAGTTTGTGGGGATGTTGTGTAGGTGGACATACCTTTCAAATACCTTAGTTTCTTCTTGGAGGATGATGATGAACTTGAACATATTCGGAAGGTAAGAAAGAAAAGTATCATGAATTGATATGTTTAAATAGTTGTGAAGACGTGAAAAGTGTGTGTGATGATGTTAACAGTTGTGATAATGTTACTGTTTTTAGGAGTATGGTTCGGGACGCATGCTTACAGGTGAAGTGAAGAAGAGACTAATTGAAGTTTTAACAGAAATAGTGGAAAGACACCGTGCAGCTAGGGCGGCCGTGACTGATGAGGTATTTTGTAAACAGCATCAGTTGTAAGATACAGCAAGGGTTTTGATTATTATGTTTTGATGCAGATGGTTGATGCGTTCATGGCGGTAAGACCGCTTCCAAATATGTTCAACTGAATGGATGGATGGATGGAAGATGACCATGTCATTTACTTGTCTAAAAAAATGATGGATGTTGGAAAACAAGGCATCTGTTTTTGTACTATTTGCATCCTGGTTTTGTGTAACACCTTAATTTCTTTCTTGTTAACTTTTACATCAAAATCACAATTGGTGTACATCAAACTTATTGTTGTTCAAGGAAAAGATACAGCAGTAAGTACTCTTTGAGAACGTAATACCACCGTATCTTCTTAAATTTCCTTGCACAACAATTATTAATTATTAATAAAATACAATTCACTTTCACATTCAATTTACAAAACAAAATTGTAAAACTTCTTCAATATTCAACTCCCTGGGGGTACGAGTATCCTACAAGGATGAGTCTAGATGATCCCTACAAATCTCTTTTACATTTTCAAGACTAGAAGGGTACTCGCACAAAATAACGAGATACATTTCGATTTTAATGTTTTGTCTCAGTCGATATCATAATACGGTTTTATGTGGTTTTGAAAAAAAAAGATAATGTTTTTTTTTTATTTTTGAATAAAATATAAATATGAAAATATCATAAAATTTTAAAAAATATATATTGCTACTAGTACCAAACTAACAATTTAAAAACTTTTTTTTTGGTGTAATTTCTTTAATTCATTTTTGGTTTAGTTTAATAATATAATTTTTTATAAGGATAATAATTAAGTATTTTGTTAGGAACTCAATGATCATTCTAATTATATTTTAAATTTTTTATATTTAAAATGAGATGTTTATCATCTATTCGATTATATTTATTTGTAATTAATTATACGAATTCAAACATGGAGCTTTAATAAATTATACTTAACGTACAATTTATTTGTAATCTTGAATTTTAAGTAATATGCATCAATAAACAGTACTTAATACATAAAAAATGGTTTTTGTCAAATGTTTTAGAATATAGTATAGATATTCATTTGATCCTAAACAAGTCATAAAGTGAAACCAATACCTTGATATCAACATTCCAATAAAAGATAAAACTGGCAAATGACATCCATAGAAATTTGATGGCTGAAAAATAGAAATTGAATATTTGGACTAAAATAACTGATTGATACAACAACAGTGAAGATTACAAATATGGCAGCCAGCAGCAGCTACTTGCTTGCTTGATTGCTTAATTATATATACAACAACAACTATGCCTCACTAATTATTCGATAAAAATGATTTCCTTCGTCTATTTAATAGGAAACAAATACCAAGTTACGTGTTACCATGTGTCCATGCTATTGCTAGCTACAGATGAAAATTGTCAACAAGATGTTGTATAATGTCAGCGCCATCAGAATTCATCCAAGGAGTGTTTACCTAAATAACAAACACAACACACAATTCACATGTGATGATTTTACATCTGTTTGTTTAATATGTGCTACTGCTAATGCTATTATATCATACTTGCCTGGATTGTGTTGTGGGCAAAGTATCTTTGTTTACTTCCTTTAAAGCTAACATCAATTCTTTCCCAACTTATTTTAGTCAACGATTCGATCATTGCTTCTGCAGTTCCAAAATAAAGTCAAAACTATTAATGAATGCCAAATGGAACAAGAAATGAATCAAGAGATTGGATTACCTTCCATGGAGGCTCTGGCTGTCTTGAAACTATTCACTTGTGATTTCATAGACCCTTCTTCTTTTATGGTAGTTGTTGTCTCTCCCTTTAAAATATGGGGGTATTTGCCACTTCTTACAAGACGTTTACGCTGATACCAGATACATGGTAAGAAAGTGTGAAAATACTATAAAATCTGTAACATCAATGCACTAGTATCATATTAATACCTGAGGCAGCTCATTTCTACGGCGGATAGATGATGTGCTCCATCCTACAATGTCTGTATATAGTGGTTTGAGTTGAGAAAAACGAATTCACATGTGAATGGATTGATGGGCATGTTACAATCATAAGTCCTGAAGTTGTTCATGAATTGTCTTGGGGAAGAACTAAGAGGGTGTATTTGAATTTTATGAATCTTTGTAACATGCATTTAGGTGATTAGCATGCCAATTGTATTGGTGTCATATTGTACCAAAATATGTATTTTTAAAAGCTTCATGAGCTGCTAAGGCTCAAAATGTGTTGATGTAAAGTAATAAAGAGGCTGCAAGAGTTGCAGTAGAAATAGGATACGGTCAAAATGGGCATTTGCATAGAGAACATGGCGCTTGAATGACTGCAACGCCGAACTGCATATAGCAAGGAAACAAAGGTACAAAAGGCAAGGTTAAATATAGCGTTTAATGTGATTGATAGCAAGTTAAATTCATACAAAAGTGATCTATGAAGGCTCACAAAAACTTTAAGTCTTCACGATCTTCGACCATCTGAAGCAATAGAGGGGGCTGCCCCTGAGCCTTATCAGTCAAAAATAAGTGTCTCCCTGTTCTTCCAAGAACCCATGATATATGGTGAGCTACTTTCTCAACAGTGTTAGATCCGCCAAACATTGGGACCTGTCGGAATACAAAAACAGTTGAAAGTTGTGACATCAAAGAGCTGTTAAGACAGAAGCGTCATGAAAATGTGAAGAGATTGTGATAAGATATAACGTTGATTCTTGGTAGCGATAACAAGAGGTAACTGTTATAAAACTGATATCTTGTCAAGCCCGCATATTGAAATCAAAATTTATAACTCACCTGTCGATGTCCTCCTGTACCAAGATGTGGAGTGGCAACAGTAATAAAGTTTATAGGCACTAATCCAGCAATTCGTCTGCTAGAGATATGCTCTGAGCATTGCTCATTAGATGCATCATTTGTAGGGTCTCCATTTTCTTGACATGCTAATTTTGTTGAATCTTGTGTGTAAAGCTTAGCAATAGCGTATCTTGCTACCAAGCCACCAAGCGAGTGACCGATAAAAGATATCTTTTGAAGACCAGGATGACGCTTTATAACAGATGTCACCTGCAAGAACATAAATCATTTAAGATTCCATTTTTTTATGCAAACCCAAACGGAGGATATCCAGGCATAGCTTTCACTTCTTAAAAAATAGGTTTTAATGGATTAACAATATTATTAAAGGTAGCAGGAAAAAAAGAGAAGAGAACCAACCTCGTTCGCTAATCTGTTTCCCATCACATCAACACCATTAAATGTCAATAATGAAGAGTTTCGTTCACTGCCTGTACATAGCACATTGATCCAAACCATATGGTGTTACAATGTGGCATAGAAGAGAATCAAGGATGCCAAAAGCGAAGTGTAATGCTGTCTATATCATGAAAATGCGTCTAACTTTGCAATCTAGATGTTACTTCAAGAAAATTGTTTCGACAGCAATATATATGACTACAAACTAAATTAACAAATATATAACTGTTTATCTGGTCTTCAAATAAGAAAGGGTAATTTAGGAACACCAAATTTATCTCAAATTTTATTTTAGAAATACTAATTCTTTTAACACCTCAACTCATCAATTTGACAATTTTATTTCAACTGTGGTTTGTTGCAACTTGCACACATATACTGAGGCCATATATAAGCATGCTTATTATATCATGATAGTCAACTATCTTCTTTCAATCAGAAGATGATAAAGGTGTCTTCATCCTCCAGAATTGGAAGATATTCTTCATGCACATCTTTTCATTAGTCCTCCGCTAAACCATGTATGATAACAGAAAACTATAAATAAGGAGCACTAAGAGAAATGCTTACAGTGAACAATAAGATCCTCAGGATAGGTCTTCAAGAACTGTTTTGCGGCATATCTCCAATTATGAGCACTGCAAGAAGAAAAAGAATTTAGTCACATCATTACGCATATAGGATGCACATTGTTATAATGAAAAGTAGAGGCCAAATCATGGTAGCAAACAAACTAGTTAATCATAAATCCATCTTTCTGGAATATCATGGGTGTAAAGCCAAAAAACTTGGCCCATTGTGGATATATCCAGCACAATTGCTTGTGTTAGCCCTTCACATTGGAACCAGAGATCAAAAATACGCTAAGGTTGGACCTCAATCAACAATATTTAGTGCACCTGAAAACACTTTCAACTACACAAGTCTGATCAAAATAAGTGCTTCGATTATTTGCTACAAAAAGTGGTTCAGCCTACATTCATAGAGGGTGCGCTACAGCTTTGAAACATGCGTGGAAGATAACTAATTTTTTTGCAAATGTGGTTTATGGTTTCCAACTTTGTACCACTTGGAAGTGCGAAAAATATTGTCATTGAGAGAAAGTCCATGAAACTATCTCAGAGCATAGAAGATAACATGCCCTACATATCTCGGTTACTAGTCATTTTGTTGTATGGTTTTTCATTCACAAATTTGTGTATCCATCGTCATTCTTAACAAGCTCCACATGGGACCCTTGTTTCCTTTTCCTTTCTTCTTCTTACTGTCCTGAATTCAATTTTACAGGAGATTTATGATCTATGTCAGCAGCATTTCTTCAGGTTACTCAACATCCAACAGAAACTGAAGACTCTAGAGCTGTTTCAATTGCCATTATCATTTATAACTAACGAACATAGTAGTAGTACCCATATTACTTGTATTCCTAACCGTGCTGGAAGTTTGATCAATCTACTAATCCTCAGAAGGAATAAAACCAAAATTCATGTTCCAAGCCAAATTCAGAGATAATCATATAAAAAATAATCAGCCAGGCGAGACAAATATTTGTAAAAGACGTAGATGTAATGGATGTGAGCATTTGTTTGATAAAGAGAGACGGATCCATGAGGAATTAATTTATGATGGTTTTAACATACCTTCCAATCAAACCATTAACCATAACGAGGAGGTGAGTGGGAGGGTGATTAGTGTGGGCAGAAGCAGACTTCATATCGACGTTACCATGTCCGTCAAGTTCATCAAGGGTGGGGTATCCATGGTCCGATGATCGGAAACAAGTGCATTTGTTGACGATCAGTGATGTTCTGTTGGTCTTCTTGTTGTTAATAACTTGATGTGATGGCTTCATTTGTTGCAAATCTTTGTGTGACACCATTGATTCCATGGGAAAGCAGCGGAATGTATTTATATGATATGATTTGGGGGAAGGAAAGTGGTAGCGAGGGAGGGAGGGATTTCAGCAGGAATGGAATTCATGTTGACTAGTCAAAGTCAAAAAATGTCATTGAGATCGGATTCCAGAAACTTGGCTAATTCTAATTATTTGTATTTGGTCGAATATTTTATTATTCATTGTTTATGACAAAAATGGCTCACTTTTGTTTTTATTAATTTTCTTCAAACACAAAATGTGAAATAACCCTATTTAATGTTTGTTGAAATTATATATGGATTTAAAATTCAAATTATTGGAAAAAATTAGACATCAAAAATAATTTATGACTCTTCCCCATGGTGTTTAAACATTTTGATTTTTCCTTCAAATTGTTTACATATTTTTGAAAAAACTCTTTTTATTTTAGACTAAATTATTATATTTTGTTATTATGGAAAAGGTCTATGAATTCTAAAATTTATTACTAGGATTCTCACAACTTTATTTTTCTACCACTTCAATTTCTTATTTTAATTCTCGTTAAGCAAAATCCAATAAGTCCCTTACTCCTACCCCTACCCCTACCCCTACCCCAAGAAAGAAACTCTACTACGAATCCCCTTCCATTCCTAATTTCTTGGCGACCGCCACACGCTTGCAACTACCTTAGTTTCTTCTTCCGTATCTCCACGCTTGCAACCCTGTTTTTCGAGCCTTAAACAGTAACCAAGATCAATTAGATTGATTCATGATTTCTCTCTTTATCTCATCCCTTGATCCCACTCTCCACGTCACAAGGAATATAAATATAGAACTACATCTTGTTCAAATTTTGCATATGTTCATTCATCTAGAATATCCCTTACGCAATGGAGTTTTTATAATAGAGTTAAGGTAAGGGACCTGATTCATAACGAAAACAAAACCTTGAGGACTGATAATCATGAATTTTAGGGTTGAGGGACCTTCTTTGTTACCACATGAACCAAATTTGTAATTACTCTTTACTTTTTAAAAAAATAATTTGTTTTTGATAATTCATCTTACCAAAAAAAATCTAAAAAACCGCAGTTCTCATCGCAAGTAATTACCATCGATAATTTTACAAAAATGACTCATTTAATTTGTCGTTGAACTCATTTGTTGCAAATAAAATTTTCGAAATCAAGAACAACAAACATTACAAGATAATACTTTTTTTTTTTTCATACCTTTCGATATATTTTGTAATGTCTTTAGCAACCACATAATTCAATTAATTGTGATCGGTTTTTTAGCTTTTTGATTCTTTCGATATACAATCAGTACTTAATTTTCTACATGCATTAATGGAATTATTAGCACATAAAAATGTTTGAGTTTAATTTGTTATTAACCAAATTAATAAGATTGTGAAGTGTATATATGAACACTTGCATCAACAAGAACGAAAAAGTAAACGAATAGAGACTGAACATAAAGACGTGAAGTAGATCAAAATATCATAAATTTATTTTGTTTTCATGGTATATGGTTTTTTTAAATGATTTTCGGTGACATTAATACAGAACAGATATAAACATTACAAAAAGATATAGTTTTCCATTTGCGATGACATGACTTTACAACTATAAAATATTTAAACCATACTTATTTGGATTATTAGGGTTGTGTAGCGGTAGAAAATTTAATCCCATCAAACCCAAAACAAGAACCATAATTGGAACCATATAAATGAGAAGATAAGAACTGAAATTGGACCGTATGACATTGATTTTGATACCAGTTTAGATACAATTTTGTCCCAAATTAGAAACTAAATTAAAATTTTGGTGTTCAGTTAACAATTCAAGTTTAACTATTACCTAAACAATTGTTGTAGATATGTCTATAAACATAACAAAATAGTGATATAGTTAAATGCATGAGTCTATTGGTCGCACACAAAGTTTTATCAATGTAAAATCAAGAAATAATATTTAAGGTTTAATGAATAATTAATTAAAAGTGACTAGAGGGACTAATTGGTTATTAGTCTAAACCTATTTAGGCTTAATTAAGATTGGACCTTGATCTAATATGGTTAGGGTTTTAGTTGGATCACACCTTTTAAAAGAATGTTTATCCCTAAACCCTAAGCCTAATTCACTTTTGAGCTCTTCCTCTCCTCTCTTCTAGAAAACGGCACCCACACCCTCTCGTTAAGGGTGTGGCCAAAAACTACAAAGTACACACATATTATCAATATAAAGTGTGGTGCTTTTGGGATTGCACGAGAAGAGAAAGGTAATTCCTTGTTGTTTACAAGTGATTGAAGCTTTGGGGTGTGAATACGATAGAGAGGATCATGCTATTGGGTTCTTCACTTCCATCTAAAAGGAATTTCTAATCACCCTCTATGTTTGTTTTGTTACTTGTATCGGATTGAAACCAGATCTCTGGACAGTTGTGTTTTCGATTTTGTTTGCTCCCGTAGTTAATGTTTTTGGTTATCGAAATTTATCATAATCCATCAGTGGTATTAGAGACACGGTTACAATAATACAAGTACAAAGAAATCATTTTTTTGGATTAGAATTTGTTTTGGGTGTGTTGTCATACATTCAAAAGGGAAAATTGAATCTATGAAACACACACAAAAATTCTAAGGTTTTTTCTATAGGTTTTGAGTGTTTCAAAACCAAAAGGTTTCTAATTTTGAAAGTTGGGGTTTCTAATCCTAAATTTTGAAAGTAGGGTTTTTAGTAAACAAAGATTTCCAATATTTTGAAAATTAGGATTTAAGAGTCTTAATTCGAAAGTTGTAAGAACATAAAGTTTCAAATTCTGGAAGTTTAGGGATATAAACTTTAAATTAGTTTTTTTGTAAAACAAAAGTTTATATTTTGACCGTTTTAGGTTTTAAACCCTAAATTTGAGTTTTACAAAATATAAAGTTTCTTATTTTGGAAGTCTATTGTTTTAAACCATAAAATTGAAGTTTTGAAAAATTAAAGTTTCCCTATTGGAAAAAGGTTATTTTAAGACTTAGAGTATTCTAAAATTAAATTTTTTAGATTCTAGGGTTTTGTGAAAACTAGAAATTCGAAATTTTTCAAGAAAAGACCGTGAAAACGATTTCTTATTTCAATTGCTATTTTTTTTAAATGTGTTTTGCCGAACCTTTGATTCACTTGTATACTTTATGTATGGATGGTTTTGGCATGAAACCATACTTACAAAAATATAAAGTGTGCTTGTATGCTTATTCGTCAATATTTGATTTTGATGACATTAAAATATTCAAGCAAAGATTGATTTAAATTTAAAGTGCCTAAGTGTATGTAAATCAATCTTTATCAAGGTGTTGACAATTGCATGGATTTGGCATTCCATTGCATTAGTTACAAAATTTGTGTTTGTATGTATCTGGTAATAGTTTGCCTCAATTAGATCTATATGATGTGATGTTTTGATTGTTATTTGGTTGTTGTTTTATGGTAAAGGACATGTTCCAATAGCAGGCTAGGCAAGAGCGATATGACAATGTCAAGGCTCTGACAGAATGCAAAATGGCCCCAGGAAGCAACGTCAGTGTACATGTTCTAAAAATGAATTTGTACATTGATGAGCTTGAACGTCTAGGTTTCCCCTTTAGTCAAGAGCTTGCTACAGATTTAATTTTAAGCTCACTGACTAGTTCATATGAATCATCTGTTCTGAACTTTAATATGAACAACATGGAGCAAACTATAATGGAGCTTCATGGCATGCTTAAGACTACAGAGTCTAACATGGCAAAGTCCAAGCCCGTACTGTCCATCGGGGGGGGGGGGGGAGGTATAAAGAAGAAAAGGGCTGCCCTTGGCCAAAAGGCGAGGGGGAAAGGAAAGGCTATTCAGCCTAACCCAAAACCCAAAACAGAAGACCAAAAGAAAGCCCAATCTGATATACCTCAATGAAAGACTCCTGAGGATGATGTATGCTTTCACTGCAAGGAGGTAGGACATTGGAGGCGTAACTGTCCTAAATACCTGGAGGAGCTTAGGAAGCTCAAAGCTAATGGAGCAGGAACTTCAGGTATGTATATGATTGAACTCCATAGTACTTCAACTTCTAATTCCTGGGTATTGGACACAGGATGTAGTACTCACATTTGTACTAATGTGCAGGGACTAAAAAGAAGTAAGAAGCTAAGACGAGGAGAGCTGGACCTGATCATGGGAAACAAGCAGATTGTTGCTGTTGATACGATATGAAATTGTGAGTTTTCTTTTTCGTTTGGATTATCTATGGTTTTATTTAATTGTTGGTACTCGACTAATATGGCTAGAAACATCATTTCATTTTACGCTCTATATAAAGATGGTTTTGATTTTGGGCTTGATAATGGATCTATCCTTGTTTACAAAGATGGAATGCTTTATTTTAAAGATAACCCATGTCATGTATTTATGAAACCAGTATAAGTGTAAAAGATAATAGAAGTTCAATCTATAATGTTGAATTGACTCAATCCAAAGATGGTTTGGATAAGTCATATCTTTGGCATTATCGTCTTGGTCACATTAGCAAGAAACGCATCACCAAACTTCAATCGGATGGGATTTTGGAATAATTCAACCAAACATGCATTGATGAATGTGAATATTGTATTCTGTAAAAGATAACAAAGACACCATTTACGAGTTCCTGTGAGCAGATCAAGGATCTCTTGGACATAGTACATACTAATGTATGTGGGTCGTTCAGATCAGTCACTAGACACGACGAGAGATACTTTGTTACTTTTATTAATGACTTCAGTAGATTTGTAATATGTTTATTTGATTAAACATAAGTTGAAACCATCGAGGTGTTCAGGACGTTCCAAAACGAGGTAGAGAATCAACTTAACAGAAAGATTAAGACTCTTAGATCCGATAGGGGTGATGAGTATCTTAGTCAAGAGTTCCAAGATCATCTAAGGAGTTGTTGTATAATCTCACAACTTATCCCTCCCAGGACACCACAACATAATGGTGTTGCTAGAGGATAAACTGAACATTGCTTGATATGTTTCGGTCCATGATGAGCCGAATTGCGCTTCCAATTGCTTACAAACTTTTCCTTCTAAAATATGGAGTGGAAAAGTTT